GGAACACAAGAGGTAATCCTCACATAATCCCTCCCCTGTCACCTATCTCCAGATAAACAGAGGCTAGGGACACCATTCCTACCCATCCTGGCTAACAGCCATTGCTGGGCCTAACCTCCATGAATCTATCTAGCTCTTTTTTGAACCCTGTTCAAGTCCTAGCCTTCACCACATCTCCATCCCTAGAGGTGTTTAAGTCTCGGCTTGACAAAGCCCTGGCCGGGTTGATTTAGTTGGGATTGGTCCTGCCTAGAGCAGGGACTGGACTTGATGACCTTCTGAGGTCTCTTCCAGCTCTATGGTTTTAACTGTCCTAGTCAACTTGACTGGCAGTTGGAGTCCTTTAAGAGATGTGCTACTGCTGCTTTCGGGTGCGGCCAGCGCCTGGTGGCATTCGAGGTCTTGCTCACAGCAGCACCTCTTTGCGTCTAACGAGCCGAGGGCGCTGGGCTTGGGAGCGGTGTGTTGGTTAGAGCAGAGGACTGCCACTGTACTAAGCTGTGTTCTGCAGCATGGTGCTCAGTTTCGCTTTAGCTCTGATTAACAGAAAAGGGCTTTCTTCTCAGCATAAACACATGGTTCATACGTCCTTTAGAAGCTTGTGCCTATTAACTACCCCGTGCGCAGGGCAAAGTAAAAACACACTCAAAATGTCACAACAGCCTAGAAGGTCACCGCACGGCCGGCTCGTGCTGGCAGTATAAATTAGATCCATTACTTTCAGGTCATGGGCATGGACAGATCTGACCTAACCCGAGAGTTACCAAAGAACCCAGCAGTCGTTGACTCTTGTAGGCCTTGCTCGGTATCGCTAGCAAGAGTTGAAGGCGGGTAGCCACAATCCAACCCACCAGCAGCTTTTTCCAAGTCAGCAGCCTCTGGGCTCATTGGCATTGTATTGTGCTATGGCCCAGCCGGCCAGTAGTTCTGCAAAATGCGCTCCCTGTAGAAGAACAAAAGTGTCCCCACCATCGGCCTCCTCTAACATGTGACTTATCGGTCACACATAGGGAGCTGTGCACCAGTGTTCCCTGCCGTGGACGGGGGTAGCGTGGAACCTCTTGGTTTCAAGGGTAGGACAAGCATAAAGGGGCATCAAGAGAAGTTTTGGGTGGACATTAGGACAGATTTCCTGCCATGGTGGTGAAGCACTAGAATAAATTGCCTAGGGTGATTGTGGAGATTGGAGATTTTTAAGAGCCAGTTAGACCAACACGTGTCAGCGATAGTCTAGGTCAGTGATGGGCAACCGAGGCTAATAAGTGGCCCACCTTCACCTCAGTGGGCTGCAAGATTGTTGTAACCAAGCCGGTCTCCTGGGACAGGGTAGTTTTGGTCACAGTGCTCGTGTACCTAGAATGTGTGGGGGGTGCCGATGGAACCGTGGCAGTGCTGTGATTGGCTGCAGAGGGAGCGCACGGCTCTCACAGTCAATGCTGTGTCCAATCAGCCCACGACGCCTCACTCCACGTGCTCTTGCTTTAAGCGTGTGTCATTGCTAGGGAAAAACTACACAGATTGAAACCAGCGGAATTTGGCCACCCTCCATATGGGCTCTGGTAACCAGACTGTCCACACATGGAACCGCAATGGGCAGGTTACCCATCACTGGTCTACATAATACTTAGTCCTGCCCTGAGGGCAGGGGACAGGACTAGAAGACGTCTCAAGGTCCCTTCCGTTCCTATGATCCTTTGATTCTATTCCGTGACAGTAAGAAGAAAATTGCAGCGATACCATGTGTGCATTAGACTTCTCTCTCTAACTGAGCCAAAAACATCAAAATAGGTTTATTAATAGGGGGGCAGAGGTCATATTATCTGCATGACTTCATAAAAATAGCAGACAGAAATCCTTTTCTCAAATCAGTACATTCTACGCATAAAGACAAATATTTTGATGTATTACATGGTATACACAAGCTGGCCTGTGATTACAGGCTGTAGACTTTTGCCTCAACCAAAAGCAAAAATGTACAGGAAATAGTATAAAATATATCAGGTGGGGCAAAATATTTCCCGAACTTTCCCCGACAGTACCCGCTGGAGTGCATTGTTGCATGAGGGGTTAGACACTTTCTGCCAATTTTGGTCAAAACTAAACAATGTTTCTATGACCTAGGGTTCCTCTGGTGATTTTCTGATTTGTCCTGGTTGGGCACCAGATAACAGTTAAACATTGAGACTAAAAAACTGCCCCATTTCTAGTATCTCCATCCACCCCCCGATGCCCATCGGACATGCCTCTCCCATGGTAGCAATGACTTTTTTCTAGACACATTCGTGCCCAAAACAGGTTCGGGCTGGTAGACGACAGTGGCCTGTTTCCAAATGAAGGCTGGAATGCCTCAAGCTGCTGAGGCCACGTTTGGTTTTGGCCAGGAGTATGTGGCGCCGACTGAGCGATGGGACTTGGCATTTGGCTGCACTGACCGGGACCGGCCCAGAACAAGCCTTTTGCCAGTGAGCCTGTTTGCTCACAGAGCCATGTACAGCTCTGGATCCAGCCACCGCCCCCCACTCAGGTGACACGCCCCTGGAATCCACGCAGAGGCACCCGTGTTTGACAGGAAACTGCCTGTCCCCCTCTCCTTCCCACGGGCTGTCAAGTGCTGTGACACCCCGGCCCTCGCTAGCGCGGGGAGGCAGTAATGGAATCGGAGCTATATTACATTCATCCCCCCAGCACAAATAGGCATTGCATCACCCTCGCCAAATTGATTAGGTCAAAATAGAGTCCTTAATTAATGAGAAGTCAGGGCCTGTCAACGTGAAATCCATTAAAGACCAGTTCAGTTTTAATTTCAGTCAGGCACCGCTGGGACGTCTCTGTGGATTCATTACCGTTTCGAGAGCTAGCGTCTCTCTCTCCTCCGCCCTCCCCGCGCCTTGGCTTTCGCCTCCCCGCTCCGTTGGCTCTGTAGCTCCCTGATTGGTTCGTCAGGGTGGTCAAATATTGGAATAAATTGCCAAGGGAGGTGGTGGAATCTCCCTCTCTGAGATATTTAAGAACAGGTTAGATAGACATCTGTCAGGGATGGTGTAGGTGGAGCTTGGTCCTGCCTTGAGGGCGGGGGGCTGGACTCGATGACCTCTCGAGGTCCCTTCCAGTCCTATTATTCTATGATTCTATGGATGGAAAAACGGGAAGCGCCACAGCGTTAGAGCCAAATTCAGCTCTAGTGTCAGCGGCATCTGCTTTATGCCCCTGCCTCCGCCGAGGCTCGTGCGGTCACTCTGGCCCTGCCTCTCACACCCAGGCCTGTCCGCTCACTGTTCAACGTTGCTGTTCAACGTTCTGCCAACATTGTGCAGCAGGGCCCTGGAGAGGTCACCTGCTTCTGGGGGGGAGGGAAATGTGGGGTCTCGCTTAACGATGATCTTGTTTGATTAATGCTGATGACGGCCCCATTCCTTCCTGGGGCACATTCTCCCCTGGGCTATCCCCAGGCCGCCTCGGTGAGTGTAGGAAAGGGCAGGATTTGGCTTCGTGTACTTCAGCAGCACTGAAGTTGAGCAACTCCGGGCGGTGACATGCAGCACTGCTTCCCAGAGCCCTACAGAGGAATGTCTGGGGGGCAGGAAACAAACACAAATTCCCCATCCACCCAAAACGAGGAGGAGAATTTCAGCTGCAACGGGATTGCCGCACACTGGCCGTCTGGCCAGGACTCCAGAATGAACACCCTTTACGCTTGCAAAGTCTTTCATGGCCAGGAGTGGTAAGAAACCCTGGTCCATTTCATCCAACAAACAGCAGCACAGCACCCCCACACCGGGCAGGGAGCTGGTTCTGGAACTAACCAAGACCCGCTCCTCCCCCATCTCCGCCACTTGCTGCAAGACTTGGCTTTCCCCTGAAGGCCTCCTCTCATAAAACTCCTCAGACTAGCCCTGGTTTGTCCCGGAGACGGGACTAGACTGCAGCTCCAGGGAGCATGGCGCTTAGACACCGCTTAACACCTAGGCACCTACACGCCTTTGCAAGCCTGGCCCTATGCGCATTCCTCTGCAAACAGGCGCTCTGCTTCCTGAAAGTCAAGCTGCGACAGCTGTCTGTTTTGCACCCGAGTTTATAATCCTTTTGACCTGCCGTCATTGCCTCGGCTGGATTAGGATTTCAGGGGGGGCAGCAGGAACTTAAAGATACATAGGTTCTGGGCTCTTACGTGCCCAGTCACAAAAAATGGGGGGAGAGGAAGGCAAGGAGAACGAGGCTCAGAGCCCGGGTTTAGCTGCGCAGCACGTCGGCATGGGCACACAGATAGCATTATGCATGTCGGGGCCGGCCTTAGGGAATATGGCACTCTAGGGCAACTTGTGTTGTGGTGCTCTGATCCTTGTGGCCAAAGCACCCCCCATTTCCATGGGCTCCCCAGCCCCTGCACCCCCATCCTGTGCCTCCTTTATCATTAACCCTGCATTGTGCCCCCTTCGCCCCAACCTCTACACAGCACCCCCTTCAGTCCAGCCCCTGACTTTCCTCCCACCTGTACCCCAACCCCAGCCTTGTGTTTCCAGCATGTCCAGCCCCCCCCATCCCCTTTGCCCAGCAACATCCAGGACCAGTTACCCTTCTGGCTATGGTGCCCTGGGCATGGGCCCAGTTTGCCTGGCCCTGCACGTGAATGGCCCAGCTGATGCCAAAAGGACGGCTCATGTCTTAAAGTTAGGCCTGTGCATTGCTGAGCCAGGGACTAAACATCGGAAAACGAGACCAGAACCTGAAGTTTAGCCCCAGATCCAAACACCCCCCACGACTCTGGTCGCTGGATACAGTTCAGCAGCTGGATCCACATTTCAATTTCTGAACTCAACAACCGACCCTACGGGGACCCTTAAAAATCCAAAACATCAGCGACAAACCAACCATCAAACAGCCTCCTGGGATCCTGAAATCAGCGGCCCCATAACCCCAGCTCAGGCCGCCCTGCAGACGTAGAATTCCCACCGTCACCCTCCCGCCTCCGCGCTGCGCTGACCCTAGGGCTCAGCACCTACCGTTCTGCTTGGCTGTCTCGTAGTCCTCCTTGCACACCAGGCGCCCGTCTTCCATGAGGTAGAACTCGTCGCCTGTGGCCAGCTGGCGGTTGCAGATGATACAGGCGAAGCAGTGCAGGTGGTAGACAAAGTCCTGGGCTTTCCGGACCACCTGGGTGGGGGGGATTCCCTGCTGACAGGCCGTGCATTTCGTACCAAAACGCCTGCAAAGAGGACAAGTGGCAGCGCGGACGCGGCTGGCGCGACAGGGAGGAATAAAGGCGCCCACGCAGCGAAGGAGAGCGCGCCTTGGAGGGAGACGGGGAAGGGGGTGGGAAAGAAGGGGCAGAGTTTAAAACAGCAATCAACCTAATTATGCATGACATTTCACACAGCACGGCTCTGTCTTCTTCAGCGTGAAAGACGGGCCTAATGGCGCTGAAGGAGGTTTGATTTTAATGGTCCTTTTAACTAATGCTTATAGGCAGGGCGATTTCCCCTGCAAGGACAGTACATATTTCATCCCCATTAATACCAAATAAATTAATTGCGCGTGCGGCTAGCATGATGAATCCCAGATTAATGCAGAATAATGGGGCTCTTACACTGTAATGACACCTCCTCTGTCACACAACCGTGGGGCTCAGGCTGTGGGGGTCTGGGCCCTGTGGGGAGACGGGGGTCTGCATGTGTGCGCATCTCGGTGAAGGGATCTGTGCCGGCGTGGGTGTGCGTTGGAAGGGCTCACTGGAGTGTGCCTGAGAATAGCCCTGCCTTTTCTCGGGGGTGCAACTGACAGCAGGCACCTGGGGTTGTGTGTACAGGTGGGTTTGCAGCCACCTGGGCTGGCGAGGCTGATGGTGTCTCTAGGGAGTACATGCGTGGACAGCCGGACAGGAAGGGAGCGTGCTGGAGTGCCTGAGGCTGTCTAGGTTGGAGCGAATGCAAATGAATACACAGCTAGTGTGTGTCTGAGAGTGTATTGCTTTGTGCCGCTAGCAACTTCAGTGCATGACACTGCTACAGCCTGGTGTTTAAATCCAGCTGGTGCACGGGGTTTAAAAACACCACCAGTGTTGTGGGTTGAACAGCATTTATTGGTTCATACCTTGAGTGTGATTCTGAGCTCACGTGTCAGTCTGACAGGGATACAACCGACTTCCCCAGAGTTGCGCCTGGTTGGCACACAAACAAGTGTGTACATACAGCACCGGACACACCAGCCCATGTTCTCGCTACCGTGGCACTAATGTCCTATACATAGGACAGTAAACAAGGTAACATCCAGCCCTGCCACCAGACAAGCCACTGGGCTTGAGACAACAACTGTGAGCAAGAGGACAGCCGAGTACTACATGTATAGTATATTAGTGCCACAGTACCTGCCCCAAATGAGACCATGGGCTGGTGTGCTCGGTGCTGTACAGACACATAGCAAGAGGCAGTCCCTGCCCCCAAAGAACTTACAAGCAAACAGACAACACTTGCTTTCACTTTTGAAAGATATGCAAATTCATGCTAAATTTGCATATCTTCCGAT